GATACTTCAAAAAAAAAAAAACAACAAAAACACATCATTTTTGTTTTTGTTTTATTTTAAACGAGATAACTTTTATGAAGAAAGAAATTAACTTTAAAAGATTTTCTGGTTGCTTTTCCTGTACATCCTGTACATACACACACTTAGCTAAATATTTATTAAGAGTACAAGTTTTGTTTTAATTTAGTTATTTAAAATTTTAAATTTTACACTTTATAAATTAATTATCTTTTTTATTTTTAAATATTAAACATGATAAAAAATAATTTTTTAAGCCACATTTTTTAATTATAGATAGAATATAAAGAACGTAAAATATTGAGGAACTCCCTCTACTTTAATTTTAATTTTGCTTCTATTAAATCTATGTACATATAACAATAAATATAATCTAATCAGTGAAGGGATTCAATTTGTTCGAAATGAATTAAGGAAGAGAAAATTAAAATTTACGCTAAATTTTAGCTTATTTACTTGCTAATGTAAATAATTCCATATTTAGCAATATTTCATTTCATATTTGGAATTATTGCGAATTCGTTAAAGAATACACATATAAAGCCATTTATTATCAAAATCCTATAATAGCTTAATTACAATTACTAAGCAAATCTAAATATTTTAAATAATTTTTTTATGTTTTCTGGCAACGCTATCTAATACAATATTATGAACATACTCAGTAAACATAGTATTACTTTTTTTATATTTGTGTATAAAGTTTATAAAATGAATGCCGTCCTGAAATAGTTAAAAATTTATATAATTATAGCAGACACAAGAAATTTTGTCATTTATAAAGCAATGTTACCGTTTATCTGTTTACGACAATAAGTAATTTATGATTAAATGGTCAACGTAGTTAAACTTTTAAATTTTTATCAAACAAAATGTTGATAATATAAAACGAACCTTTTTTTATCACATTTCAAAAAAAAATTTGCATTCAAATTTCCAATTGAAATACCGTATAAAATCATATTTCAAAAATATTGAAATTATCATTTTATGAAAATGATTTACCTTTCCCATTTTTTGAGGAAATATACTTTATTATAATTGACAGGCTTACATATACATACATATGTATATTCCTAAAGCATATTACGTATGTATTTGTCCATGTATGTATATATTATTCCATTGACATAATTTTTAAACGAAATGCAATAAAATTATTTATAATGATTTTTACACGCAAAAATTATAATTTTGAAAAGACAAAACTTGCACATAAATTAAGCATCATGGTCGCATATAATATAATAATTATTATAAATATATAATTTATAATAAATTCATATAAAATTTTGAATTATTGACATCATTATGACAAATTCTTTTTACAAAAAAAAAAAATATTTATGAAATGTGAACAATGCCAACTTCAATATTATATAGTGAATAAAAACAAAAAAAAAATTTTAATGGTCCAAGCTCTATAAAATTTTATATATATATTCGATTAATTTTATTGAAGTGCATACATAAAATATACGTTAGGTCATGCAGGTAAAATATAAAATTAATGACTTATGTCATAATTAATATTGAAAATATGACAAAATTTTAATGTGTGTATGTACTTACAAGTACATGTACGAACATTAATGTGTTTATTGAAAAAAAAATTAATTTGAATGAAAATATTAATAATACAATGTCAATATAATAATCTTTTTTTAAAAAGAAATTTTTTTCAAAATTTAAAGAACACAATTTATTATGAAAATGGACTGCCTTCAGTAACCCAAATATCCAATATCGTATATTTGTACATATTATTTATAAATTATTGTCTAATTTTAGAGATATATTTGTATGTATATACACATATTGACATAATGCATATTATCAAATATTAGACTAGTTTAATTAATGGATGAGGTGTAATTAATTAGCGATTTTAAATAGAAAAAAACGAGAAACACGCAAAATAAATCTTATTTTAAATTTATTTTAAGTACAAATTACCAATATTTTTCGTTCAAAACCATTATTATGATTTATGTTTTACATAAATAGTTGATTAAATTTTTTTTGAAAGGGTTTTTAGAAAAATAATTTTAAAAAAATGCCATAATAAATTCTTTAGAACCATTGGATAAAATAGTAAATTAGAATAACGTCATATATGTAATGTAATCGACATAGTATTATGCAACAGCCCTATATTCCTTCCTGAACTAAAAAAATTACTGTGGTTATTATTAACTACTTTTAAAGCTTCAATTATAATATGTGTTTTTCCGTGGTCAGCCTTCTTCTCATGACCAACAAGTGGAATTCATTTAAATTTTTAAACAGTTTGGTTTTTGGAAAGAAATCAATTTTCAAGCCAAATTTATTTATTTTATCTAATTTTGATAAGAATTTTCGCTAATTTTTTAAATTAATTTCAGCTAATAAATAATTTTTCAATTATTAAAAAAATATGAAAGCAAATATTAACAACGAGCCCACAAGTCCATAAATTTTAAAATTTTCAAAAAAATAAAATTCAACAATTTTTTACTACAATCTTTAGTTTTCAGACCAAAAATATTATTTGATATTATCCTATTTTGTAATCCGTTGACATCAAAAATAATAAACCAATTGTAATGCACTTGTAAGCATACTCGTACGTGCAAAAAAATGCCAGATGTAAATGAAGTGCGTATCCAAAATAATTAAAATTTTCTTAAATAAAGAAATTGTTGTTATAATTTTATTGAAAATTCCTTGAATATTTACAAAATAAATAAATTAGAAAAAAAAAATTTTTTTATGATCTTTTTATAAAATTTTAATAGTAAAATTTACCCAAAATATCCACTTGGATTGCTCTTTAATAACCTTAACAATATTCTTTTTTTTTCTGTTTCAACAATATCGTTTTTAAATAGCATACAATAATTATTATTTTGATTCTTCTTCAAAAAAAATTTGTCAAAAATAAATAAATTTTTTTTTTTTTTTGGAATACCATAAAAAAAATCTTATATTTTTTCTATATATTTAAAATATTGTATATGTTTTTAATTTGAAGAAAATAATATTATACGTCTAATAAACACTATACTTGAAATTGTTTAAAAAATTATAAATAAAATGTAAGCAAATAACAAAAAAAAATTTAAGAATAAAGAAAATAAATATTTTAATTTTGGCAAAATTTCAGAAACTCTTTTACAAAATTTATGTTAAGGAAAACCAAAAAGAAAAAAAAAATCTCTAATTAATTTTTATTTTCATATTAATTTTAAATTAATTATGTATTTTTTTTATATATATTGTACTTTTAATTTAATTATAAATAAAAATTGTTGAACAATAAAATTTTGTGTTAAACATAAAAATTAAATAAAATTTTAATTAGAATTTAATTAAAGTCAAATCAAAATGTTGTAAACACAACAATGATATTATACAAATAAAATGCAAGCAAAACATTAAATTTTAAAAATTACTTAAAGGAAATTCTTTTCAAATTCCAAACAAATTATTACATTTGGCAATGATTAATATCTTACATTTTACATACAAATTATTATTAAGAATAAAATATTGCATTTTGAAAAACATCATTTTCTAAAATTCAAGTCAAAATTTTCATGTTACCCTTAACTGAAAAAAATTCTGCATGAATAGTGAAAATAATTAAAATATTTATTATCAACCACAAGATTATGAAAAGACCGTTTGAACACTTTATTTATATATTAAGACGCTACTAGAATAAGTTTTACTTATTTATAGATAAACAGAAATTTGGTTCTTAATGCCATCCGAATCCTAGAATGAAAAGTTATCTAGTTAGTTCCCGTAGAAAACAGAACTCAAATATTGGGTTTTACGAAAGTCTATATTAATTAATTTCTTAGATATAACTATGTTAGAAAATGTAAAATCAGCTGGTATAGTGAAATTACGGTTTTCGAGACATGATATTCTCAAAAATATCTTAAAATTCAATACATATTAAATTCCAAGAACATTAATTGATTAGTTCTCTGCATATTCGCAAAAATGCAAATTGGACCTGCAGGAAAAGTCAAGTTGTCTAAGTCTGATATATATGTATCCTAAACTGAAATATAAATTTTCACCAATCAGCCCAGCCTTCAGTTGAGTTTCAAAATCTGTTCGGCCAAAATGAGGATATACGACTGCCTGACAGACATACATATAACTTATTATTATTTTGTATGCAACGCGGTCAGTAAAAATGTAAGTTTCTGTCCTCTGAACAAAAATTAATTCAAATTTTGATCCCTCAACTTATAAAACTTTATATTACACTCATATAATCTATACACGAAAAAAAAGTAAAATAATCAATTTACATAGTGTCCTACAGTGCTGCAATAAATATATTTAACACTTTCAAAATTAAATAAATTTATCAATAAATTTTTAATATTAAACAAATATTCTATATTAAAATATTATAAAGTTTAATCTAAAATAAGTAAATAATTAAAAAACTATATATATACATATATCATATATGACATTGGTATATATAAAAATTAAAAGTTAAATAATATTTAATTTGAAATATTTTAAATACTTGACACAATAAATCATAATCCAAATTAATTTTAAATAATTATTACGAGTATATATTATAATATTAAAATAAATAAAATTACTTTATAATATACTATATATACATAATATAGTCAACAAAATATGTTTAATAGTTATTTTTGATTTTAGGTTTTGTATTATTATGTATGTTCTTTTCTTATAATATCATAATAACTTTGGTAATAAAAACTAATAACTAAAAATAATTCTTTTGTATTAAATTTTCATTAATAATAAATATCATACATTCGTATACATTTTATGTGTATATACATATGCACTATCATATATTATAAATGTTTTTCATTGCAACTATCGTTATATTATAAGTATTTTTTATATATACTTTGATATAATATTCAAATGCATAATATAAAAACAAATAATAATTATATGTTACTTATTTTCTATACATAAAAATTTAGGATACAAACGTGTTGCTTGGCCTCCGACCCCTGAGCGAAAAATTATAAGAGAATTTACTCCTCAACCTCAATCTCAAGGAGATATAAATCAGGTAATTTTAATATTATATTCTTGAATTATATTATTAAAAATTTAATAAATTTCAAAAAACAAGCTAAAATAATATATAACAATTATATTTACATATATTACAATATAAAACATAATATTACAATATAATACAAAAATTAAATTAAATGAAATTTTTATATATATACATAAATATGATAATAATATGAGAGTAGATTTTTTAATACTTTAATAAATATTTTAAGAATTTTAATAATTACATATAGGATATCTATATATATTATATAATACATGTAAATTTATTTTAATTAATCGAAATTAAATATAATTAACAGATAAAATAAATATATCTATATGTGTGTATATATGTATATTATTATAACTTATTATGTATATAATATAATAAATGTATATAAGTGCTTTAAAAATATTTTTATATTAATCTTAAATTTACTTTAATACATATAAATAATATATCGAATTGTTTTAAGGCAAAATTTCAAATGAAATATTATATGAAACCTGTAAAATGTTTATTTCTAATACAATGTTCTATTTATTTTAAAATTCTTATACAATACTTATAGAAAGAATCCTCAAAACTTTAAATTATGTAAAGAAGAAAATTAATTTAAATTATTTTACAAATTTTGTGTAGCAAGAAATAAAAAAGTTTAGAAGAACTTTTAAAATATTAAATAATATTGAAAAATATTGAATTTTATAAGTGAAAATTAATTACTTTTATTTTAATAAATAATTTTCATTTTAATAAAAATATACAAATTTACATTATAGAATATCAAATCTAATCAATAATAAAATCTCTCCTAATCAGCCGTTTTCATAGAATAGTAAATCTGAATTTGACTAAAAATTTGCTAAAAAATTTATTCAGTAATTCCGAAAGATAAACTTTGAAGCCTAATAACTTAACCTTTTTTCGGTGTTACAAGAAAATATGTTATTGTTCAAACACAATTATAAAATATTTAATATTAATTTATATTTCATTTAAATTTTGCTTTATACATATAAAATTAGTAAATAAGAATTAAAAATTTAAATATTAAACATAATTTATCATTTTGTACATATTATTCATTTTTTTGTACATAAATTACATATAACATTGAATTTTTAAAAAATGAGAAACTAGATCGACTTGTAGAATTCAAACACTCGTATACAAGACTTCATTTAATTTTTTTTTTATGATTTTCCATTAAATATCAATAAATTGCAAAAATTAAAACAAAAATAAGGTATAAAAAGAAAAAAATTTCGACATGAATTAGAAATACAAAACATTTTTTTTTGTGATCTGCTAGGTAAATTATGAAACCAAGGACTAAAACCACAAGATATCTTTTTTTATTAGTATATACTAGTATAAGTTTAGTATATACTAGTAAATTTCCTAGGACGGACATATTTGTTTCAATAACAAACAAATTTAACTTGCATTTTAATTTCATTTAAATTTCATACCAATCTTTTTTCATCAATTCAAGTTAGCACGGCAATATTTAAACTTTTCAAAATTTTTTTCACTCAACTCTTATCCGTATACCTACCATATACCATATAAGCATTTTCAACGCATGTACACTATATAAGCATAATATTATCCAATTGCTCAATTACTTGAAATATCAATCTTTGATTCGCCTTATATCGATAATATCGTTAGCTTATCTCGATATCAATGATATTTTATTTGAAGATGTGGATAACATGAATTCTAACAACATTTAAAGGAACCATTTTTACTCATTAAAAGAGATTTGTACAGCAATAACTAGATTTTCAGAGTTAAATCGGTTACTATTAGACTAAATGATACTGGATTTTCTGATCGCAAATCTGCAATAACCAATATTTTTGATTCTATTTAGAAAAAGTGCTTATGCAGTATATTTAAATAGTGTTCCCAAATTCAATATCAAAAATTTTGTTTCCTTCCAAAAAAATAAAATTTAATTTTTAAATTATTTTTTCCAATTTAAATTTATGTCGGGTTTGAAAAATAAATATACCCTATCTATTTTATTTTTTTTAATATTTGACAACTTTTTTAATTAACATAGAAAAATAAATTCAAATATCATAACTGTTGTATAATAATTATGAATGCCTCTTGTATATATATATATATATATATATATATAAATATACAAATATTACAAGAAATACAATTAAAGTCTAAACCTCAAAGAAAAAACAAACAAACAATAATATTAAAAAGTGTAAAAAAATGTAACAAAAAACTGAATAGAATGTCCGAAATTACGCCCTCAACACCTTGAACATTTTTCATAAAAAAAATCCACTCAATAATGATTTAAGTTAAGAGCAGAAAGTACACACAAACAATTTTTTTGCTTCCAGTTTTTCAGGTTGTTTTTCTTTTTTTTTTGTATATTAATTATAACAAGGACTTTTACAAAAATACAACACTTGAAAATAAGATCCTTTTTTTCTCATTTTATATTTTTTAATTTTAACTTGTATATTCTTTTCAAGTTCAAGTTAAATATCCTTTTAAAGAATAATTTCTTGTAATTTACTTTAACTTTGCATTGTCATGATTTTTTCATGACAAACAAACAAAAAAAAAACAAAATCATAAGATAAGCAAAAAATTTGAAAAAAAATTTTTTTCCTTTTTGTTTTTTTTTTTTCATTTATTTTTGTGGTTATCTTTCAATTTAATTTTGTGTCCTTTTTTTCGTATATTCATATTTTTAATAATGAAAATTATGAGTTTTTGTCCTTGTCAAAAACTGTTAACACAAAAATATGGAAACAATACAACTACAATCATGTATTAGAATTTTATTCATAAATTTTGAATATTTTAGAACTTAAATATTTCTTTTTGTTCTTATTATTTTCATTATTATTGTTATAAGTTAAATAATATAACAGAAAAAAACAAGGTTTCGAATATTTTATCCTATAACTTGTTACTATCATATTTTAAGATTTGAAAATAAGAAAAATTTTTTTATGATTTCATGTAGCGTCAAAAAGTTCAGATTTAAATGTAAATCTTTGGATTAATGAATATTTTATACAAATATATAAGTATATACATTTTTCTGTTTTCTTCTTTATTTAATAATCAACTTTTATTATGATGTATAATAAAAAAGATTTATTAGAAAATTTCATATTTCATTGGTGTTCTGATATTTTGAGGAAGAAACCACCATAATATTTTGTTATGATCCAAAGTAATAATTTCATTAATTATGAAACAGTAAATAGTTTTACAAAAAAAAAATTAAATAGCTTTGTTTTTTTTAATTAAATTTTATTTTAATAAAAATATTCGTAAAATTTTTTTAAACCTAATTAAATTTAGGTCACCATAAAATATTTAATACAGACTAATTTGATCATATTTGTCTGATTACACTGAAGAAAATAAGTTTTTTTATTATTTCATTGAATGTGACTAAGAATTTGTTAATTGCGTTTTATATATCTTGCCTGATACCATTTCACATACAACTTATTCAATAAATATTTAAAATTTTTATTAATTCATTGAATTTCAAAATAAAGTGCTACATTGACTATATTAACCCGCTGTATGACAAACAGTCGCATTATTGTATAAATTTCATTTAAATTTTTATTCTTTCAAATTTTTACCAGGAATTGCTCTAAAATTATTAATTTGACTTGAAAGAATCTATTTATATTCTGACTGAAAAGTAACTTCGTCTTATCAGCAAATTTTTTAACAATAAATTTTTAAATTCATGTAAAATTTGCAACTCTTAATTTTCTGAAACTAAATATATACATAAAATCAATATAAAAATAAAATTGCATATATTACGGGGCAATATTTTAATTATGTTATACTCGTATGAAATTATCTTAAAATACTGAAAGACTAAGATGACTGAGTTTTTTCTTTTTTTTAATTTTCAAGTCAATTATAATTTTCATTAAAAGAATCAGATATTCTCATATCCAACACATAATGTATAGATGCGTTTTATTGGAAGAAATTGGCACTAAATTATTTTTAACAAAAGAATTAATTAAGCTCTCTGTAAGCGCAATTAAATCGGTCTCTTATCGAAATAAAAGATGAAATAAATTGTTTAATTCTAAATTTTTATTAATTTTTTTGTACGAGTCCCACACTTTATTGAATTTATGATTTATTATATATTACAAATATTACAAATAAAATTTTTAACTTGTAAATTTTCATTGTATTTTAAATTAAAATTTCATTTGCCCAAACCTTGTTAAATTATTAGGGAAACGAAAAAACGTGAATTCTTATATAAAATTCCCTTCTAACCAAATATAATACTGTAACCTGTGTCTACATGGAAGGTCAGAAACCTTATTTAATTAAACTTCTATTTGTAAGAAAATGAAAAACAAAAGCTGTTCATTCCGCATTTACTTGCTTTCATACTCGTAGCAGAAAACTTCCTGAAATTTTAATTTTTTTAGAAAAAAAAAAATTAACATTACAATGATTCAGCCAATTTTTTATTTTTATATTTTTCTTTTGTTTTATATTTAAATATACACGATCCTAATGAAATTCATAAAAAATATTTTTTTTTTTGAACAAATAAAAAACGAAACAAGAAAAATTTTATTAGGACTAACATTTTTTATTTACAAACAATCTTTATGTTTTTCTTGAATTAAATTATTAAAAAAGAATAAGAAGAAAAAAAGGACAATTAATTTTATTGTCTTCACGGCTTTAAAAAATTCATCATTGAAAATTCACGTCCTTTTATTATAGTAAAAACAGAAGAAAAAAATTTAAATGCTGTCACAGCATGTTACATAAATATTATTAAGGATATTTCGGCAGAAATAAAACAAATAGAAAAAAAATAGAACACAAAAATAAATTTAAGAAAAAAAAATAAGAGAAAAACTACGGTAAAAAGATATGAAATGTTAACGGTATGGTTTATTTCATATTTTACTGTTATTTCAACTGTTTCTATAATATTTTTTTTAACAGTT